CCACCCCCACCCCCGGTGTGGGTATGTCCACCACAGGCCCCCAGCAAGTACCTCCGAGAGCCGTACTCCGCCCTGATGGGCTATCTCCTCACGGGAGTCTACGACGACCTCAGCAAGATCCGCGTCATCTACCGCTGGGTCACCTCGCTCAAGATGGAGAGGATCCTGCTGCCCAAAGTGGAGCCGCCCGCCACCACGCCACTGTTTCAGATCTGGAGGATCAAGAACCGGAAGGGGAACTACGCGCAGCTCATCAGTATTCTCTGCAGGTACATAATTAATCGTGAGATTGCGAGTTCGGGGGTTGGAGCCTCAGCTCGGTCCGACGTTGTGTCCTTGGGAAAGGCACTTTACCCGAATTTCTCACTTGGCTCGGTCCTATCGGAGACGGACGTTAAACTAGGAGGTCCCGCCCCTTAAATAACCTAATAGTGTGGATAGGGGAGTTAAACCTATACCATTTCACCATTTTTCCTAATTATTTAACTCTTCAATCAAGTAACAGACACACATCGCTACCTTAGAAGTGCAAAGTTCTATGTAACGTTTTTGGCCGTTTTGAGATACTAAGACCAAAAGGCCAGAAATCAAATTTACTGTTCTATCTGCTCTATTAAAATTGTATGATTATTCGGGGTCACTATCGCAAAGATTTACAATCGAAAAAGCTTGACATGGTGTGCAGTTCAATTTATTTTTACGTAAAATTTCTCAAAACTAGGTACTGAGCCTATAGAAATGTGTAACTCTAGGGTAACATATTTCTGAGCATATGGAGTTATTGGAATAATCTGAATTTTTTAATATTTATTTTGCTTTTGGTGGAAAAAATATGCATGTATCCCGAATAGACGTCGAGATATTTGCGATGGAAGAAGTAGAGGGTCGCTTAGTGTCAAAGATAAAATCAGCGAGAATATTACGTTCGCCAATGTTTGGTGACTTCCGATTCTTTAGTGTCCTTGGAAGCTACAATTTGTATAGTTTGTGCCTTTGATAAACATTTTTCAATATTATCCACTAAAAAAATAGACATAAAAGGTGTTGAGAGAAACAAAAAACGAAAAAAAATTGCACAATGGATGGGAAATGTCGGTTTCCTTGATTTCAATATTTTAACGAACACCTGGTTTCACCTTAATGTCACACATATCCGATCAGCAGCAGACCAGAGGCCATGTTGCGGCACATTTCTCAGAAGCATTGTACACAAATCACAGACATGAAACAGTACATTTGAGAGAATGCATATGGACGAGAAATATACCTCAGTTAAAGCAAATAGAATTTTGAAATATGTGTGAATAACGAAGAATATTCTTCTTTTTACACTGACATATGCCTGGCTCCTTAATGATCTAAATTGGGTCTATGGGGGTGTAAAACACCCACATTAAACAACAAACAAAAATAAACCGCTTAACGTCCCCAGACTGGCGAACATCCCGTGCGCCATCATCCACGGTCGCCTGAAGGGCTCCACCTATGACGTGGGTCAGAAGGTGCACGACAGACTGCACTACGGGGAGTGGAACGCCGTGCTTATAGACAGCTACTGGAGACTGCTCAACGCTTACTGGGGCGCGTGTGCTATTGGTGAGTTCTTGAGGG